CCCCCCCCCCCCCCCCCGGCCGGATTAAGGGGGTGGCCACATGGGCCGTGACCCATGGCGGCAATTTTTGCAAATTTTTTTAAATGTAGGTATAAAAAAATCGGATTCAGAAAAAAAATTATGTGCATGAGAAAAGGGGACGAAATCTCTCTTTCCTGAGAGTATAGGTAGTAATTTCTAATTTTGTCGTTTTTTGGTGATACAAGAAATAGCATCTTTAATTAGTAGAGTGAAGAGAGGAACTAAACACGCAATTTGGCCTGGAGCTCAAGGCAGAGAGGAATGATGACGAGGACTTGAGATGAAAAAGACAAGCCCTCGACGCGGCGCGGCGATCGGCATTTAACACATATTAGCGCCTACAAGACTGCATGAATACTTCACCCATTGCGTCAAACACATTGCGGTCAGGAGCGGTTGGCGTGAAACGTATAGCGCCTACAAGACTGCAGGAATACTTCACGCATTGCGCCAATCACAGTGCAATCAGTGCGGCCCAGCGGCGGAAGTTAAAATATTGTATTTAGCAAATGGGTGGTTTTTATACGAGGATTAAGAAGAAACAAGTGGTTAGAAATGAAAACAAAATAATATGAACTATGCAAAACGATAATCCGGGTATCGGAACTTGGCTGTTTTGAAAACGCCTTCAAATGCGCCGTGATACCTCACGCATTCCGGAGAGTTCAAATAGTTGTATCATTGCGCCGTAAGAATGTGACGGAAGATTGCAATTGAAATAGCCTTCTTGCACGCTGGCCTTTTCGATTTCCGTTCACATTTTTGCAGTCACGAATGCATAGTTTAAGTGCTCTTCAGCTAGAATTGTATTTAGCAAATGGGTGGTTTTTATACGAGGATTAAGAAGAAACAAGTGGTTCAAAATGAAAACAAAATAATATGAACTATGCAAAACGATAATCCGGGTATCGGAACTTCGCTGTTTTTGAAAACGCCTTCAAATGCGACGTGATACCTCACGCATTCCGTAGAGTTCAAATAGTTGTATCATTGCGCCGTAAGAATGTGACTGACCGACTGATCCGACTGTCGTCAGGACGAATCACTAAAACGCTAGGTTTTTTTTTGTCAACTTTTTAGTGGGAGTTTTTTAGGGTTGGGGGTGGCAACCGCCACCTAGAATCCTTTATTTAGATATCCATCTTAAATCCTGTGAGGATGATCCAATGCACTGCTCATACATATGTGATAGATCGATGGATAATTTTTGAATCTCATTTTTGACATTCTCAAAAATGCTCTGTCGATGGAGTGTATTTGTCCAGGGCCGACCGTTCGAAGACTGGATGATCCAAATGGCGAACGATCGCAGTTGATCGACTCCGATCGAATCACCCGATGACCTGCGCTGCCGTGCGAAGGAAGAACGCCGTATGAACATTCGAGAGTTGCCAAATTTCCTCCGATAAAATGTTTATTTTTGAGTAAATTTATGAATATATTTTGCCTTGAAATTTTCAGAAAATTCAGGTAAAATTGCGAGCAAAGTTATCTGAAAAATTGGAAGAAAAATACTTATAAATGTTCCCGAAAATTCGTGATTTACCAAAGGAAATTTGGCAACGCCTGAAGGTTCATACGGCGTTTTTCCTTAGCACGGCAGTGCGGGCCTAAATACCTGGCAATTTTACTCGACATTTGTTGAACCAAAAAGTAGGGATGACGGTTTTTGCGAGTATATCAATTTTTTTCGGTAAAAAATGGATTCGATTTTAAAATCGTTTAAAAAAATCGATTTTTTTTCGAAAACGTTTTTAAACATCTAAAAAATCAAGTTTGCGCAAAAAACACAACTACTATATTAAAGCTGATCTTGAAATGAAACTAAGGTTTCGCAGAACCTAGGTCTTGTGGGACACATAAACGTAGGGAGTTTTGATTTCTTTAATAATTCGGTTTCTGCTCGAAAAATCGCTTTTATTTAATCGATTTTTCAGCGCAAAACATCGACTTCTCGAAAAATCCATAAAAAATAGCCATCCCTACAAAGACTGATGAAAACGTTGAGAAGCAATGGAACGAAAAAAAGAACTGAATTCGGTCAATTCTACTTCAAAGTTCAAAGTCAATAACTCTACTCACGAATGTCACAGGAGGCTTTGATAACACAGGAGTCGTGCCTACGCGGACGCGCTACCCGGCTGATCATGAGATTAGATTGATTAGCGCTGTGATCAAGGTGTTCTTGCTGTTTGTGATCGCTATTTTCGTGTGTTCAGATGGGTAAATCAAAGAAAAGACAGGGCTCGGGCCCTAAAAGTAACCCGAAAAAGAAGCAGATCTCAAAAAAAGGTAATTCCGCGCACGAGGACTTCTGTCAGCATATGTTGGCAGAATCAGAGTGTGGATTTTGCTACCGCGAACGATTCGACGAAATGTACGGCTGGTATAACTCAGGTCCGGAGGATGACGAATTGGATTCAAACGATATTTCCGATATTTTTGCGGATTTCTTGATTTCTCGTGCAACGAACAGCAACACACTCCGTTGGACACGAGCATCGACAAAATCTAGGAGAACTACTGACTCCTCTCTCCCCTCTCTGGAACCGATACTCCCAACCATAGAAAAGCCACATACAGGTGAGACGATCCAAATACTTATTAAAATTCTCAAGTATAAAGATCACCAGGAAGGTGAGCAACATAGGGTAGCCCTGGCAAAAATTGGCAGTAGAATCTGTGTTCCAAAATACCATAGACCTAAAGCCGGCTGTAAGATTTCCAATAGCTTCTGTAGCCGGCTGTACAATTTCTTATAGCCTTTAGCCGATGGCGACTAAGCAACAGCCTGGCGATAAAGTGTATGCTAAACGTTACTAATTACGGATGCTAGGACTTTTTTGGACTACCGCTCTCTTTTTGGGCTGTAGTATCTTGATTTATTTTGCGAGGAAAGCTCCGTACTTTTGAAGGATGCCTGCCATTCCTAATATGTTGGAGCGCCTTTAATTTCGTATGATACTGTGCAATACCTCTGGTGTGAAATAGTTGCTTCAAGCGCCGCGGTACGCTGCGGCGCGGCGGGCGGGCAGCCAGCGCTGAACGCGCATTAGCGCCTACAAACCTAACATGGATACTTCACGCGTTGCGCAATGCGTGAAGTATCCCTGTTAGGTTTGTAGGCGCCAGAGCGTCGTCGCTCCGCTTTGTGTTAGGCTCTATTATCTTGCGGAGTCAGCGTTTTTCAACTCATGATTTTGAAATGTTTGCACACTCTGTATGGATAATTCTCATTTTAATTGATGAAAAAAAATATGTTTTAAGGGAAAATGTAATGTGTGTTTTGTAAATGTCAAGGTAGTTCCGTATCAAACTTAATGATTTCCAAAGCACACGAATTTCTAAACAATTTATTATAGCCTTTCATAGCCAATGGCGATAACGTTTAAAGCCCGGCGATAGGAACTATAGCCCGACTGTATACTTTTTTATAGCTTCGTATAGCCCGGCTATATGATTTGCTCCGCTTTCTACAGCCAGCAATATGCTTTTCAATAGCCTTCTTTAGTCGGCTATAAGAACTCTTATGGTATTTTGAAACGCAGCTCCTATCGCCAATTTTTACCAGGGAGATTCCATATAGCAGGGGTCGAATTTTTTCAGTTCTTCCACCGGTACTCAAATATACTTAGAACGAGCCACTATTGCGCTGAATTCCGTCCTAGCACCTCTAACATGTTGTGGTTTGGACTCATCGACGGATGTTGCTTTGCCGTGTGAAAGTATCGACGAAATTCCGATATAAGGATTTAAAACCTCATTTGAGAGGCTTTGAGGACAAGGCGCATAAGTGCAGTTTTTGAAAAAATAAAGGTATTGATGATTTTAAGTAAAACTAGTCTTAATGCATATTCTGTGAGAAATTCGCTCTCAAATTCCAATTTTAAGTATCAAAAAAAGTCAGTTTAAACTTTCTTTCCGTCATAAGGATCCATGTATTTTCGAATCATGAAACACGTATCTCTCGAAATAGCAAAAACAGCACTCATGCGCCTTGTCCTCCAGGCCTCTCATTTGAGTTCCTAGCAAACAATTTTGCGAGTAATCGACGGCGACATTTCAGAGCCCGAAATTGAGTTGAATGCAACGAACAAGCTCGGTAAAGCTGCATCAAATTGCAGTAAGAAATAAATAACTAAGCGAATGACACAAAGTTCGATATCAACATTTGAAATGAACGGCAACAAGTAATTATTTGTTGAACTGGCAAAATTAATTGAATTGTATTAAATACACAAGATAAAAATAAATTAAAATTATAATACAAAAAAAAGTTATAATAGGTAAAAGCATGCAAATATACAAGGGAAAACATTGAAATAATATTTTACATCATAGTTCGGAAAATCATGACAGATTTTGAAGCGTTCATTTTGGTCCACCGGTTATAGGACATTTTTTTTGTCGATTTTTTGCCAACGCACCTGTTCTTTCTAGTAGTTTACGTCCACGCGTTTTTTCGGCAGGGGAGTTTTGGTCCACTTACCAATAGAGACCCAAAGTTAATAAGTCCAAATGTGAATACATGTAAGTCCTAGTATCTGTATTCAAGAACGTTTAGCATGATATTTGAACTCCATAAGAGGGAAAAGTGACTTGACTTAAGCAGATATAACCTCGAATTTACCTCCGAGAGAATTTTCTCATGAATCAATAAAGAAAATAATGCTTGTTTAGAAGAAAATATGCTTAACACCTCTGTGTGCAACACCACCAGGATGTGCAACACCTCTGTTGTGATATAGTTGCTTAAGGCGCCGTGGCACGCTGCGGCGCGGCTTGGCGGGAGGGTGCAAGGTGGTCAACGTTCAACGTGCATTGGCGCCTACAAACCTAAGTGGATACTTCAAGCATTGCGCAATACGTGAAGTATCCACATAGGTTTGTAAGCAGCTTCGCTCTGTGTTCGGCTCTAATATTTAAACTCGCGGAGTCAGCATTTTTCAGCTCGTGATTTTGAAATGTTTGCTCACTCTGCTTGGATTAATCTCATTTAAATCGATGGAAAAAAATATGTAAAGGAAAATATAATGTGTCTTTTGTAAATATCAAGGTGGTTCCGTGTCAATTTTAATGACTTCCAAAGCACTTTAATTTTTTCTTTTATATTTTGTGCGTTTACGGTGCGCTTTATCCTTCCTTTTCTACCTGAATTTTCAAATAAGCATCGGAGAAACGAACTCGTCCATGCTTCATGGACCCTTTATCTGTGCGATTTCACAGTTATGCCTTTCTTTCTATCCATAATTTGGAATTCCTCATTTCTATTATCTAAGTTGGGTTCGAGTCGGCTAGACAGCTTAACTCGTTGCAATAAGGCGTACAATATTACGTAAAAATGTAGGAGTTCCAAGCCGAAACCGTGTCCTTTTTACGATTCCTTGATAGGTATATTCAATTCGACGCGCATATTTGGACCAAGTTCAGAAGAAAGGAACTAACCCACATTAAGTTGAAGCTGAGAAAAAGAGGTTTGAAGTTTTATTCCTGCACAAGGTATAATGTAGAAAATAAACTTTAACCCTTCTTTTCACAGATTAATATCTTTTTTTTGGTCTTCCAGATTTTGGCAGGAGAAAATAAACGACTGGTAGAACTTAAACATATTCTTAACTAATTTTTTTCCGAAAATGTGGGTTGGTTTCTTTCTGATAAACTCGGTCTGTTTGACGTGTGTCAGCCAGGCAACTTGATTAAAGGCAAGGCAAAGCGTGGAGCATTACGCGAAACTGCGAGGGCGCTGCAGCGCAAAATTTCGAGTCGTTCGTCTCCAAGCCGAGGATTTAAAAATTTCATCCTAATTTCGCAACGAGAGTGGATTTCGATTGGTCACGTATTAGGGATAGCGCTTTGATCGGTTTGGGTATGGATCCGACGATAGGCAAATAAATTAACAGCGAGGCAAAGCGTGGAGTATCATGCAAAACTGAAGGCGCTACAATCCGAAATTTCGCGTTGTCCGTCTTGGGAGCCGAGAAACTAAAAATTTCACCCTTATTTCGCAACACAAGTGAGTTCAAACGGTTACGCACTCGTGATGGCGCCTTGATTGGTCCGGTCATAGATCAGACGATAGGCAAATAAAATAACTGCGTGATAAAGCACAAAAATATAGCTCGAATAAACAAATAAAGAAGGAGAGAATTAAAACATGGGTAAAAAAGGCTAAAACATTAAAAAGCCTTTAGTGTCCTGCCTTTTAGTGTTTTTAATGTTTTAGCCTTGTTTACCCATGTTTAAATTCTCTCCTTCTTTAACTGCGTGACAAAACGTGGAGTATCAAGCAAAACTGAAGGCGCTGCAGTGCGAAATTTCGCGTCGTCCTCCCGCGAGCCGCGAGACTAAAAGTTTCGGTAATTCGCAACTCGCGAGTGGATTTCGATCCCCTCTTATCCCTCACTTGGTATCATTTCGACGCGCATAGTTGACGTGGGTCAGCCAGGCAACTAAATTAATTGCAAGAATAAGCTTGGAGTATCAAGCGAAACTGAAGGCGCTACAGTGCGAAATTTCGCGTCGTCCGTCCGCGAGCCGCGAGACTAAAAGTTTCAGTACTTCGCAACGCGAGTAGATTTCGAACGGTCACGTAAGTATTAAGGATAGCGCCTTGATCGGCCTGGTCATATAGATCTGACGATAGGAAAATGAATCAACTGCGTGACAAAGCGTGGAGTATCAAACGAAACTGAAGGCGCTACAGTGCGAAAGATCGCATCGTCCGTCCGCGAGCCGCGAGACTAAAAGTTTCAGTATTTCGCAACGCGCGTATAGATTTCGAACGGTTATGCATTAACGGTGACCAGCGCGGTCATGGACCCGCGGAGGAAAAATCGAAAACCCGATCGGGCGTCCAAACGAGGCGAGGATCGGGCGTCCACGCGGGGAAACGAAAGAACGAAGCACGCCGAGATTGATCGTGTCTCGAAACGCGAAACTTTCACGCATCACTTTCGTTGGCGAGTCACCGCGCGGAGACGAGGCGCCGATCCGCGGATCGCAACGGTAACGGGGTTACGAAAGATGAAGGTGAAGGTCACGGTGGGCGGAGAGCATCTCGCCCGAGCCCCCCGTGCCCCAACCCGCGCCGCACACTGGGACCAGCCAATGAGAGAGCCCGAACATGAGATTTTTGACTCAAACAGCGGGATGATTTTTGAAACTGATAGATAGAGTAATGGGCGAAGAAGACAGAGGGAAAATAGAGGTGATAAACAGAGTAATAGTCAAAGGAGGCGGAAAGGAAATGGAGGCGGCGTACAGTGGGACGAGCCAATGAGAGAGCCCGAACATGAGATTATTGACTAAAACAGCGGGATGATTATTGAAACTGATAGACAGAGTAATAGACAAAAGAGGCGGAAACGGAGTGGAGGTGGCCTAAAGTGGGACGAGCCAATGAGAGAGGTCGAACATGAGATTTTTTACTAAAACAGTGAGATGGTTATTGAAACTGATAGACAGAGTAATAGACAAAAGGAGGCGGAAAGCATATGGAAGCGGCGCATAGTGGGACGAGCCAATGAAAGAGGCCGAACATGAGATTTTTGACTAAAGCAGCGGATAGTTATTGAAACCGATAG